CTAACTGACAAGAGCGTGTGAATTTTCATGAAGAGGTGCTGTGCGCGATGAAAACGACGAGATATGCGACGAGTGGTCTTGAAACCAGCGCAGCAGGTGAAAGGTAAAGGACTGGATTGCGTGATGAGATACATTACGAGCGATTACTCCTGTTTCTCCTGTTAACTCCCTCGCGCACGCGGCGTAATGCGTTATTAAACAGCTGTTTCTGGGAGTCTGATGGGAAACTCGCGCAAATTGCTCGTTTGAGAATTGTGGATGTCCTTTGATTATTCGAATTATTTGTCATTTCTACGAGGAATGTTTACATATGTTGAAAAACATTGGATTTTTATTTTTTATGTTAATTGATTAATAACTGCTAACGTATTGTTATAGCTTGCAGTGTAACTTTTTTTACAGTATATAATTAATATATATTTAGTATATTATGAACATTGGTATATGCTTCAAAACACGATTTTTCAATTTTGGATTTATTTGTTATTTTAAAAGTTAGAAAGATTATTTATCGTATATAATTAAATATCATGTATTTACTGTAATAATATATTTAAAAAATTTGGAAAAAATTGCAATTTTTAAAGAATGCAATTTGCGAAGAAAGTAAAAGATTTTTTATCTTAATCTTTAATGAAAATTTAAGAAATTGATTTTGAGGATTTATATCAGTTGTATTCATGCTGAAAATTTCATTAAAATTTGTTAACGTTGAACTACAAACAATTGAAAATCGCAATTTTTTCACGACTTTCGTTCTAAAATCTAAAAATTTTTATATCTTTCGATATCTGTTGCTTGTTTCACATCAATGAAATTAATACATAAATCTTCAGAATGTTTTTTAAATTTTTACTAAAGATTCAGTAAAAAAATTGTGAAAAATGATCTTCAGCATTTTCTCTAATTCTAATGAATTGCAATTTTTTCAAAAATTTTTTTACGTGTCATGTGATAAACTAATTTTTTCAAAACCACACATTGAATCCAATTTTAAAAATATCGTTTTTTAAAAGATATTCCAATAAAGTTACTGCAGTATAAATATTTTATATATTTATGTATATGTAATATTTTTTGCCTAAAGTAAAGACAAATAAACTAAATATCAGTCCATTTTATCATAAAAAAAAATTTGAATTTTAAATTCAATGAAAAAATTGAAAATGATTTAAAAAAGGAATTTGAAATCAAGAAATTGAAATAATAGGATATTTTGATGTTCTTTCAATTGTTGATCATCTTTGAAAAAATGAAAATAAATTTGTATTTAAGCATTTTATATATAAATTCTAATACCTAATAATAAGTTTTGAGAAAAAATATAAATATCAAATGCAAAGCAAGTCTTTAATTTTTTAAAAGATTGTTGCTCTTATTAAGTAATATGTAAAATATTTTCCAAAAAATTTACAAATATAATGATAATTTACAATATATGTTATATAAATACAATACAAATTTACAAATAACAATTCCAAACAATTGAATGTTTTAAACTATATCTTTTCTTACCAAATATTTCTATTTGAAATGATATTTTTGAAGTAAATAGTATAAACTTAAACATTATATAATTTATTCTATTGTTTTCAATATTCTGAATCACTTATTACATACATTGATTCTTGATTTTAAAAATTATATTTTAGAGTTTCTTTTTTATTTATCTTTTTTTATATAGCGATTTTGTTTTATTATATGTATTATTTTTATTAATAGAAAAAAAATTTCTGATTTTTAATTTTTTATAATATATTATGATCTAAAATATTTCCATGTGTTTATCATTCGTATATTCAACTATGAAGATAGAACAAAACTTTATCTGTAATTTTAATCTATTGATATTTGAAATTAAATTAAATGTTTATTTAATCTTATTTTTGTATATGTTTATGTAATCTTTTTTAAAAAAATATCTAAGAAAAATATTAGTTGCATAATTTGAAATTTTTGTAATATTGAAGTTTTGCTTCAAAAAGTTAAATAAAAGTTATAACAAAGAGGATATTAATTACATTATTTGTAATAATAAAAATCTACATTAAAAACTTTTTTATTTTTTTAATTTTATTTTTATTAGATTTTATTTATTATTAGATTTCACAAAATAATTTTCTTCTCTTTATTAAATTCCATTTATATCGTAAATATTTTTTAAAAATTTTGATTTTCATCAAACTCTATATAACAAAAAAATTTAAATAATTAGAATTACAGGAAATAATTTATTAAAAATTAATCAAAATTTAAACTTATTAAAACTTTATTAAAATACAATTTTTAAATAAAATTCTTCAGAAATATTATTTCAAATAATATTATCTTATATAAATTTTCTTTCTGTTTTTTTCATAAAATTTCATAACGTAATAAAAAGTTTCTCATATACAATGTTATTAATTCAAATGATTTAAAGTGCAACAATCGAAAAAAAATTATTTGCTATCTTATCATGTTTAATTTGTTGTAATACGAATTATTTACGTCGTATTCATACTCAACGATTAAAAATTCACCTAGAAACTATTCCTGTCGTATTAAAATTTTGTTGCATTTAAGTATCGATCTTTTTTATCGCGAATCACGAAGGGAATTCCAATTGTCAAAGAGAATGTTCAGAAATCATACAGGCCAATCCTTAGTACATAAATTTCATACTATATCAAGGATTTATTATTAGCATAATTCTTTCAAGACTCTCCTCTTGATCCTGTTTCGTAATTTTATTCTGGTGTGTCTTCTTTTCTCAGACAAGGTCCATTCTTATTCCCATCACGGCTTTGAGTAGCGTCATTCAGGAGACGGTATTTGAGCGTAGAAGTGAGGAATGAAATAGAAAACCGACGGACGAATATAAATGAAGAAGAAAATGAAAGTAATGGATGTCAAGAAGTCGATACGAACTTCATTTCATTTCATGATTATTGTACTTGCATCGTTCAATGTAGTGTATTCGAATCATTTTGATATCATGCAATTGTTACATGTTGCACTTAAATATGATAAAAAATGAAAAGAACAATTTATGGCTATAAATCGTGATTTTATAATCCAGTTTTCGGTTTTTACAACATATCGCGATTTTTCAAATGGTTAAGCATGTTGATGCTAATTGATAAATTGCGTGGAATTAATTTTTCACGGGTTTGAAATTTCTACGTTTACGTTGAAAATGGATTTTTTTAAATGTGTGACTTGTTGGTCTAGATGTTTTAATTTATTTATTTATTGAAATTTTCATTGTATAGAAATATAAATATAAATATATATATATATAAAATATATAGTGAAAGTATAAATTTGTTTCTATGAATTTTTATAAAATTGTGAATAAGAAATTTATTTTTATTGAAATTTTGTTTTTTAAAATTTAAAAATAAAATCCTGTTTTAACATACTATTGATTTTCTGAGACTGTTAAAACTGAATAAATGTCAATAATAATAATTTATATCATATATTTAATACTATTATTTATAATTTATTTTATTGGATGTTTCATACTTCTTGAGGTAAAAGTAAAATATCAAAAACATGATTTAAACGTGAAAATAAGAATTTTATATATAAATTGTTAAAATATTCGTAAGACAGCTGGAGTTAATTCTAAAAAACAAACACAAAACTTGGCTGATTGTATATATTATTTATACTGATTATGTTGCTAGTTGATTATTACTTCAATTCACGTTATATTTGAATTCACTATGATTGAGAAAATCTCAACAATTCATTAGTATTGACCATTTTCATAAGACGAAAATTATGAAAATTGAAATTTTCTTTATCTATCTCTTCGACTCTATTTTGAATCTATCTCGCTTTTTCTGAATATCTTTCATTTTCATCAAATCATTTTATATTTTTCTCTTATTTTATTAAGCTATGCTCGAATCTTGAAAAAAGCATAAGTATTAAAATTTTCATTCAAATATTTAAAGAATCAGATTGATATCTCTGTGAAATATCAAATCAATTTTTGATTTGATAATATTAATTTGTTATCATTTTAAAAAAGTACCAGAAAGTAATATCAAATATACTTAAAATATTGGATTGTATGAATAAATACAAGTAAAAACTTTTACTTAATTGTTTTTCAAGTAATTACTTGTTCCATATGAAATAAAATATTTATTAAAAATAATATTTATTTAAATTTTCCACTAAATAGTTAAAATATATTTATGTAATGTTCACTGTGAAAACTTTAAGTAAATTTTAGTAAGTCTATCTCTTGTTTGTCTTAATTTTTCTTTACTCATAATCATATAGCATTGTTCATTTAAATTCTCAAAAGATTTACAAAAATCGAAAAAATTACAATTTCTGGAAAAGCCGTATCCTGTTCAAATTCAAAGAACATTATATGCGACATGTGACAAATACGTTTTTCAACAATGTAGATAAAACCAGAGATAACGAAAGAAGAAAATATTCCCAAGATACATGGATGATCCTGAAGTTCAACTAGATATTTGTGAAGATGTAGATCAGAATACAATAACTTAAATTGCCAAATCCGTATCAAAGCTTGACTTATTTAATAATACTGATTTATCTTTCAATAATCGTACAAAGATTATTCACTGGCTTCTATTTCAAAATTTAATTCATTTGAATAACCACATGATCAGAATAATTAATATCAGGTAAATTAATTCTTATATTTAGAAATGGTTCGAATGTTTGACATGCAAAATTAAATGGAATAATCATACATTTCGAAAAATCTATTTCTGTTGTAAAAAAAAAAAAAAAAACAAAAGCAGATATTTGAATCAGAAATAGTATTAATAAAAATATTAGATAGTATCAAGTTAGTATACGATACGATTCGATATCGAATTATTTGAATATATCAGCAATACATTAGCGCTTAGAAAGTCGATACAGGTGAATTTAGATAACAAAGTATTAGATATATAAGAAATCTAATATTTGCTTTTATTTATACTCAAAACTAATTAATAATTCGATCAATGATACGATTCGATATCGAATTATTTGAATATATCAGCAATACATTAGCGTTTAGAAAGTCGATACAGGTGAATTTAGATAGCAAAGGAGAGAAGAAGGGAGAAAATAGGGGTGGACATTCTGGTAGCATTTCGAGGAGCCAGTCATTCATATACTACACAAAAGCTCGCGCCACTCTTTGCCCCGAGAATGAAAGATCGGGCGTCGATGGTAAAACGTGCTTCCCCGGACTTTGCTAATGGATTCCGCACTCTGATTTCACCTTCTTCTTTTTCCCTTTTTTATCTTTTTCTTTTTCCTCCCCTCCCCCTTCTTTTCTTTTTTATTCCATAGTCCACTTAAATCCCATGTACTTTCCATGTCTTTGTCCAAGTGCGTGTATTTGGCGTTCTCGTGGAAAGCAATATACATAATTGAAACACCTCCAGAGAACCCTTTAGAACTCGATCTTCGGGTACTGAGAGGAGAAAAAAATCCGTTTATTGTGTATTTTATAACCGAACGCATCCGACTCTATTAAACCTGAAAGCAATTAAGCGTTCGTTTGTGAAAAGAATCGATACTTTCCCCCGTTCAATCGTTCTTGCTCTTCCTGCGGAAAAAGAAGGGAAACGGAAATAAATTTAACACCATCGCCCGTTTGTCATTGATAAGATAGAGAGATATTTTCTTTAGAGTATTCTTCAACATTTATTTCGTCTTTTCCTTTTATTTTTAGCATTTAGCATAAGAAGATATCTGCTTTGTTCGAGTCTAAGAATCTTAACTTTTGAGATTGAGATGAGTGAATCAGTGATTGAACTTATTTGTTTATATCCTTTGTTCGTAGTAACATGAGCTTTAATGTTTAGATATAGAAATCTATTAAACTGGTATAAGATAAAAGAAAGAAGTATCAAAGGAAATGAAATTTTATGAAATGAAACATTACGTATTTATTTATTGCATTTGAAAAGTATAATTTTTTTGTTTTTATATAACGCATTTATATAATTGTATTTTTAATTAGTTATTATAATTTTATAATTGTATACTAAATTTTATAACTTCAACTTTAGATTTTGAAAGAAATTTTTTAACTATGATATATAGAAATTTAGATAATATATAATCAATTCCAAAAAAGTTTTAGTACACTATTTCACAAAGAAATTCACGTATCATGAAAAATTCGATTTTAATGAAATTTTTTTATGCAATTTATTTTCCGACAAAAAATCTTTTTAGCTGTGCGAAATCAATTCCCAAATTTTTTTCATTTTTTGTATTTTAGAAATATTTTTTAAACAGGATAATAAAGCTGAATATTTTATAATTTAAATTTTTGCTCTATCCTGTATCCTTAACCAACGACAAAGTTATAATATTTTTAAAAAATATTTCATTAATAAAAAAATCACATAATATGGATATTATGATTCATATAATACAAAATATATATAACAGAATTATTTTGATTTAGACATAATCTATTAGATATTATTTAGATAACAGTGTTAGATAATATTATAGATAAATTGTTCTAAATATTAGAACGATATTTAAAAGATACAAATACTTATACAACTTTTGACTAGAAATTAATTGTTGATCTGATAATATCTAATTTCTCGGATACGATTTCATGGATAGCATGGAGAATCGATTATCTCCTGATAATATATTTTTATTCAATTTTAGGATTATATAACGAAGAAAATCCTATCCATCATTGTTCCTTTAATACTCCAAAGCAATCAACTTTATTTCTATTTAGTACTTAAACGATACAAGAGTCACGTTATTGCGTTAACATCTCCTGCTAATACAGTTTCCAGGTGATAATTAGTCATTGATCTCGGTTTAAGTCATTTATTGGATGCTTTCTGCGACTAATCTCTTTAAATACTATCGTTTAATCGGATATGTTTTATCTATAAACAGGTTGCAATAACGAGAACAGTACAGATATTTATATTTCGGATCGCATACTTTATGACGATATTTCTTTCGTTCATCCAGATTTCTATGCTGGAATGTAATAATAACGCTATAATATATTTCTCTTTTTAATTTATATCGATTCGACATTTATTCCGGATGAGCTACGTGTTATTTATTAATAAATTTATACTACTAAATCAATAACTGATTTAATTAGTTATCAGCAAATTATTTTTACTAATAAAATTTATAACTGTGTGAATGAAATTAATTTTAATTCAAAAGTGTCCTTGAATATGTTTAATTATTATATTGATTCATTTCTATTATTTTATTATTCATGATTAATTTACGTTACATCCATATTTACATATTGACTTATTTTTGAATATAAATAAGATAAACTTTTCTAAGCACGATAAATATTTTTATGAGTTAATATTAAATACTAAATTGTTCTGTTCAGGATAAGATAATACGAAAATTAAATAAATATTTCAGTTTTAATCCATATTATTATTTCACTATAATAATTTTAAGATAAATATCATTAATTTCCTCTCTACGTTTATTTACTTTATTTTATATTTTTTAAAAGAAATTCATTTTGTTTCATTCATAAATTGATTATATAAAATGGAATATGGTTATTTATTAATGGGAATGATTATAAAATGAAATAATAATAATAATAATATTAATTTTATAACTGTTATTTCTCATAATAATTATTAAATATTATTGATTTTTTCATAAATTATATAAATATCAAAATTTCACTGTATTAAGTTTTACATTAAATTTACATGTATATTTGAAAAATAGAAAATAATTATAAGATTAAAAAAAAAATAATTTTTTTAAATAAAATACAACGTTAATAAGAGATTAGATTAATTATTCAAAAAAATAATTCCACTTAGACAATTTATTTTAACTATAATATAATTTAATAACATAAGAATGATGTAGGAAACTTTATCATTTTTGAATAATACTTTATTCAATACATGTATCGCACATTTTCTTTATTTCCTATCTCGAAATTACTTAAACCAGAGAACTATTTTAAAACTACTGTATATTTTGTCAAAATATTAATTTTATTATTTTTTAAAATTTTTATCAAAAATCACTTTGTTTCTTTTAATTAGAAATTAAAAAAAATAATTTTACAATTAAAAAAATAATAATTGTCCCTTAATAGTTAAAACTATTACATAACCTGTATACTTGATGAATTTTACTTTTTGATTCCACGAACGCCAACATGTATTTGTATTAAAATACAAAATTCTTAGCTTATGAATTATTATACTTCTTAAAAGAAATCTTAGCATTAAAGACTTACGTGTATTTAACAACGTCTTCATCTCATCTATAATGTAAAAAAAAAATCGATGAAAATATAATAACAGTTTGATTGCGATAAGCCAGCCAATTTATCGATAACTAACATTTAATTTCTATAAGTAAAGTATAGCGTACCGTATTCGGTTGCAACGAGATATCCATATACGGGTTACGTACGTAATATACGCGTGTAATTCACCATTCCGTGAGGTTGCAGCGTGGAGTTATTAAGCTGGCACGAGCGGCCGTGTCCAATACCAAAAGTGATAGAATTTAATTTAAAAAATAGGTTTGTCGGTGGCACCGTCGCATAGAGCGTACAATTTTTTATATTTTTTAATTTTCACCGGAGAACGTCGTTTCTATCTGTCACTGACACACCCCCCATCTCTTTTCGGAACAAACGAACAGCGAGCGAGAGCGAGAGCGAGAGAGAGAGAGAGAGATTGAAGGGAGGGGGAAGGGTACAGATCGGGAGCTATCCTGTCGATGTATGATCTGGCCGTTGATATATGGTGGTAACGTGAGCAAAAATGCGAGGCCGATTGAATTACATTGAGTTACGTGTCGTTACGCAACGTACCTACGGACAGAGAGAAGCCTCGATAAATTTATAGTACGACCTTTTGGTTACGTTTGATTTTGAAAAATCGTCGCCGTTCGAAATTACGATCCCACCCACGCCCTGCGCGTTTTGGCACGTGCGCGTCGACTATATTTATTTGCCCCACGTGTTCTCTCGGAGAACATTTCATGCATCTCTCTCTCTCTCTCTCTCTCACATTGCCTCTATCGTGCCACCTATTCTCGGTTGCTCGATCTCTCTCTCTCTCTCTCTCTCTCTGCTTTCTTCGTCGATTCTCCGGCGTTCCCGATTTCGGATGCCCCCGCTTTCCGGCAAAATATGCGGGCCGAAGAAACGACGCTTTATAATATCACGACTGACACTTATCGTTATGCATTCTTAAGTGATAAATCTCGAACGAGCCGCGGAAATGTTCGAAATTTCGGGGAAAGCGCGGTCGTCGCGACGCGGATCTTCGACGCTTACAACCGGGCCACGCGTTCATCTATGTCTGTTCGTGATCGTGTAAGTTGGACACGCGGATGTGCACCAACGTGTGTGTGTGGTTTAATCCCTCAAATTTTTCTTAAAAAGTGATAATTTTTTTTTAACGATAGATAAAATGCAATTAAGAGAATAATAGGATATGATGTATTACTTATTACAAGTTATTATTTTAATATAAGGTAACTTTTTACTTATTTCCTTATTTATTAATATTTATATACAGGTTAATGACAAAAATAGACAAGCAATTAGGTAGCAGGAATATTTGCTGATGATGTTGAGGATTGTAAAAGATTCTTTAAAATAAAAGTTGATATAAACAAATTTCAGTTGAGGTTTATTTATTAGACAAGCAATTGAAGTTTGCGTTAGATGAAGTAGAAAGAATAGATAGAGCGGAAAAGCTTTATCTCCGTTACACTTTATTTCGTTCTGTCTCCATTCTACTATCTCTATTCCACATCACGCAAAGTTAAATTGCTTATAACTTAATAAATAAATCTCGATCGATATTTTATTTTGCACTCTAAAATCAATAAAAATATTCTCTGAATATATTAATATTCCGCATGCCACGAATATTACGGTTAAATGAATCAAACGGTTGGTGGAATATGAAAAATTTTTGAGGGCAAATTAATCGCTGATAGATAAGAATAATAATATAACTGTATAAAATAGCGAATTTAATTATACAAATATGATTGCGAAACAAAAAATTATGATGCCTCTTCATCCATATTTTTATTTCTCTCGATATTATTAAAAATCATTTGCTTCCAATAATTGCACGAATTTCAAAACCTCTCAATTTAAACAATAAACTTGCTCGTAAACTCCTACCAGAAACCTAGCTAGCCATCTTCTTAGCCAGCAATGCAATTACCAAGCGATAAGAACAAAGACCGGTCACCGTCCAAAGTAGATTGAAAGAAAACCGAACGACAGCAAAGAAAAGAGACTTGGCCAAAAACCATTCCCTTCAAGCTCCAAGTTCACCATGCCTTCGACACTATTGCCCCCTTAAAAGACATCTATTAATTCGACCGGTCATACAGGTCACGTGTGTGCCCCCCAACTCGAGAAACCAAACTCGATCGGTTCTTCGAGTAACGACTATTATCTCGATCCACATCCCCGAACTTACATATCAGCCAAGGAGACGGTGTTCGACCGGGGGGGGAGGGGGGGAGGGGAATCCGGCGCGATATCCCGGCAATTCGAGATAGAGAAGGACGCGTGTGTGCGAGGGAAAAGAAAGACGCGGAGGGTTAGCCGGTCTCTTTAGATCGGATATGTGGATATCGTCGCTGTGTACGTGTGTGCATATGTGGTGGTGGCGGGCGAATAGGTAGGAAGATATCGGTGGGAGGGGTTGGCCACGTGGCGCCGCGGCGCGCCGTTCCGGCGCCGATGTCCCGCACACCCTGCGAGCTCAGTTTCACTTCAACCCCCATGCGGCCCAACCAGACGACGGACGGCTTTCGTCTCCAGGATTTGGCCTCGCCGCGAGACCAGCCTCTCTCCGTTTTCGCGCCGACTGTATCGACCTCGTTTCCTCTATTGCCTCCCGCGCTAACTTCGCCTAGCGCGACCTTCGACCTATACTCGGCGACACGCTTCCGTGAATTTCGGCGTCCAACGGATTTCGTATTCTCTTTCGATCTTTTTATCTTTCTTTATTCCCTTCGGGGATGGCGTATAACTATCTTCAGCCGATATGGCAGAATGGATTAGATGTTTCGCAACGAGGCGGAATGGCGGAATCTAAAGGAGGGCGATGAAGTCATTTTTATGTCTATGTTCTAAAAAATTTTTCGGGCATGTACTATACTCGTACTTGTTCATTCTTAGCTTGACAGGTGTAGATTGGATAATGTACGTTAGTTAGATGTAAAGTTAAATAAAGATTGTAATTATAGATTTGTAGGATTGAATGTATATATTTGAAATTTGATTAAGGTGGTGCTAAAGGTATAGTTTGATAAGATTGAATATATGTATATATATATAATAGCATTTAAGAGAAAGAATACGTAACAGATCTCGGTCTTTAAATGAAAATGAATAATTTTCCTTAATAATATTTTCAAATGCAAGATTTTTCAAGATTATTTCGAAGGAAAAGATTAATAAATATTCTTGCTCTGGTTTAATATTATCACTGAATATAAACGAGAATAAAGATTGAACAATCAAATTTAACTTGAATGAATTAGAAGGAATATAATATAAAATTTAATTAATTTAGTTACAAGAATCGAAAACATCTTCTTAATTACATAATTATATTTTAAATCCTATTTAAATTCTTTAGTAAATAACTATTATTGGTTAACTAATTTATAAATTTCTGAATGAAATCACTGATAGAAGTGGTAAATACCAAAATAAGTGAAATTAAAATCAATATTCTCATTCATATTCTCAGTTTAAAATTGCACGTAAGAATAGACTTTTCATTAAGAGTTATAAATTTCAAACGATATATTTATATATTAATTTATAAATTAAATTATAAAAGAATATAATATTCATTCATTTCATAAACAATTTAAAATTAACTATTAAAATAATAGTTGAAGAGAAAGAGATTTCATCTCACCAATCATATCGTTGAGGCATTATGCATCTTCATTTTGCAAATATTCAGTTAATAGTAATTCAGAGAGAGAAAGAGAGAGAGAGAGAGAGAGAGAGAGAGTCAAACTATTTCATTTCAGAGTATGAAACTGAATAGGTTTCATCCAGTAACTTTGTAAGTCGTATAAGACTGAAGAACAAAAAGAACTTTACTACAGCGAGAAGTGCTTTTGATTTTGTAACGAGTAACATCGTTCAAAATGACAGTGGAGAAACTTGAATTAAGATTTCTTTCTTTTTCACGTTATTTTTCAAAAGAAAAAATAAAAAATTCCAACTCATTGATCCAAACCAATTAAATAATTTTATCACATTTCTAATATACTCGATTCAATCAATAATTCTTCTTATACAATGTTCAAGCTTAAAGATTATCATTGGCCACGATTTATATAAGAAAAATAGAAATTATAATCATATGAATTTAAACTTTCACCAAAAAAAAAAAAAAATTTCTTCATCCTTCCATCACGCTTCCATCAGCCCGCTATCAGATTCGAGTCAAAGTTTCGAAAGGAATACAGCTGGACAAGGAACACGGCTCGAAACGAAGAAAATCGGGCAGGTCGTGGAGTGGCCATCGAGGCGGTAGGTCGAACACACGAGTTTTCGTAGTTGGTCCGCCATCTTTATGGTTACGTCAGCATGTTTCAGTTCCCGGATCTGAAAGTTTTCGCCCGGCGACAAGATATTTCAAGTGGTCGCTCGGTCGCTCAGTCGTGATCGCCCTACGCTGAAATATTGGACGGCTCTTTCTTGCAGCCGCATATTCTTCTACCACCACCTCTGCTACTCTTCCGCCACCATCTCCTTCTCTTCTTCATCGGCAGCCTCTCCACTATCCAACACTAGCCGGGGTAGCAGCGGAGCCAGCATACCCCCCCAAGAACACCACCCATCGTCTTCGTCACCCACCGAACGGCGACCTTCTTTTTCCTCCTCCGCTTTTCTACTGCTTCTCTCCCTCTCCCCTCTTCTTTCCTCCCCTCGTCTTATAGTAAGAAGTTCACGACTTATGAGTCGCGTATTAAGCACACCAACCCGACTCGTCGTTAACTACCCATGAATGAGTTACGCCCACCCGACTCTAATTCTCAAATTGTCCAAAAAGAACGGCAAAGTGTCTATTAATCCGCGCAGCTTCGCCCGGCATCGAAGAACATCCCGAATTGGGATGGGGTCGCGAAAGAATTACGAGGGTTACCCGTTCTGGTTAGGAATGGTGAAGATGAGTGATAATTGGGAAAGCCATGAGGCAAAAGGAGTTTCCGGTGAAAAACAAGGTATTTAAGCTGGCTTCTTGAAACGCGAATCCTTTCTTGATTACTTTTCTTGATCATTATTAATTAAAACTTGATTAAGACTTTATGACCTGTATTTCTTATGTTATATATTATGTTTGAATTGCGTATCTTAAAGATATGCTATATGTTTAAATTTCGCATAAATATCCTTAATCTAGTAATTATTAGTAAATAAAATGTGAAATCACATATAGGAATAAAAATTACGTATAATATTAATTCAAGATATTTGATAAAATATTGGTTTCAGATTTTAAGTACATACCTTATAATATTATAGAAGGAAAAAAACAATTTTTTTGTATGTATATAAAATTCATATTGAATTTTAATATTTCAATATTGTTATCTGAAATAAATAAAACAAAAAATCTGATCTCATCTGAATAATAAGTACTGAAAAATTCATAGAATTAAAATTATAGATAAAATATTGTTCAAACATGTATAAAAATCATATAAAAATTTTGAAAGTTTTTATATATAATTTCTTTTATACAAAATATAGAATAATATTCAAAACACGCCATATATATAATTCAATTTTTTATCATTCAATGTTCGACAATGAAATAATTGATCATCACACATGTGCCATCACAAATTAGATTCAGAATTCATAATCGTGTTCATAACAGAAAACACCACAATCATATCCATTAAAATTTTAAAAGATTTCCAACGTCATCAACTCTTGGATCAACAGAAATCAAGGATCTAATTACGAGTAACAAATTGCCACTTTTTAAATTGGTTATGGATCGATTGGGAGAAAGGTGTAATACGAAGGGAAGAAAAGAAAAGAGAAAGAAAAGAAAAAAAGATATAGGCCTGGAATTTGGCGAAGAGGAATGGTGTCGTCGCGGAGGATTAAACCTGTCATCCCTTGACAAATCTACGAGTGTCGGCCTGATAAATTCAATTAAATAATTATACCTCTCTCTCCCCTCCTGGATGTCCGTTTGCCAGGACCGCGACACCAGCGACCGTTCACTTTCTCGTGAGCCAAGCGGAGTGTCTTTCGAGACGTCTTTGGAGGGAACACGAGAAGCCATTTCTGAAGTTTATAGCCGTTCCTGGATCAGCCGGGGCGGATGGGTAAGAAACGCGAAGGGCGGTTCGTCTTAATATAAAGCGAGTTGGTAAGTTTGGTGCAGCCAGCAGAGGCTAACTTATAATGCGATTTGTTTAATCGGCGCCAACTACTTTGTTCCGCCCGGCATTTTCCGTCGTGCACCGAGAAGAACGAGCAGCCACGGCCTTTCTTCTTCTCGCTTCCTTCTTGCCCGAGTCTCCTCTTCCTTCTCTCCTTTCCAACTCTCACACTTTGGCGATTCTTCCACGCTCTGCTCCTCTCGAAACGATCCCGAGTATCGAACGGCACCCTCTTCGGTTATCCTTTCCAGAGTTAAGAGTCGAACCGCCACTTCGGCTACGTACACGATCAACTTTTCCCTCTCTTACGATGCATCGGCAACTATGCTTCGCAATTCTTGTCGGATATTTGTTTCGATTTCGAGGTGTGGATTTTTACGAGCCATCGCGACAAGGGATTGCAGAGGTTGTAGAGTAACGTTTCGTGACACGATGATAGTAAGTTTATAGTATCCTATGAATTTCTTTGTTAATGCGTTTAAATTTAATGATCGTGTATTAAATATCACAGGTTTCAAATAAGACGAAGGATTTTATTTCGAGTTGAAAAATTTTAAAAATGATATTCAAGTGTTTGTTGCAGGTTAAAGATGATACGAATAGAAATCTAATAAACGTAAAATATGTAAAACGAAAATTATTTTGATTGAAGATTTTCTTCTATAGAAAAATAGAATTATCATCTTTCATTCTTGTTCAATAGATGTAAAATTTTCATTAATTATCATTATGTTTTATTATTGTAAAATAATAATTATATTCAAAAATATATATATTTAATGAAATTGACAAAATTGATAAAATTTCTGATATTTTAAATTTATAATTTTTGTTTTATAGTTAATTATATATATATTATATTAAAAGAAATCATAAAATTATAGTGTATATTTTATATTGTATAGAATAAAATAATTAGTGATGAAACGATTTGTATTTCGAATCATTTCCAGAAATATTATTTGTTTTTTAATTTGTTTTTTAAATCGAACTTTATGAATTGTGATGTTACAGATAAATGCCAATAAATTTTATCTTATTAAA